TCATAGACAAACCCTTTTTGATATCGCTCCTTTCATTACTTATGCCGTAGGAAACGTTAATATTGGTTGATCGACTCGCTATATGCGTTCCAGGTATCTGTGTTCCTGGATGTGTTGTGATGGGATCTTATTAAACTGAACCTGTACAGCAGAGGCTGCCAAGTCTTTATGGATTGTCCAGCCAGGTGGGGAACAGGCCAAGCTGTTGGCAGCTAGGGAAGGCCAAAAATCATATTACATTTCACAAGTGAAATATTTCATAGCACTATACAGAAACTACACGCGCTACGGAATTAGTTGGCGCTTTATGAATGGACATCTCACATCGTCCCTGTTTATCTCTGTGTTCTGGTATTCCGTCCAGTGTTATCTACAGATGTTTTACCATTGCCATTTTCCCTTTCCTTTTATTAATCGCCATGATGTGATTTTATGTAGATGTTGTGAAGTAGGTGTGGCTTCATAGCATAATAAAAAGGGGTGGAGCTAAATAGTCTGGGATTAGAAAGAGGAGGATCGGGCTGCTTTCTTTTTGTATTCTTTTTGTATTGAGGTAGACTAAATAAGTGCTGGTACTGGATTGGAGATTATAGGAGGTGGGAACAGCTGGGGAGAGTATTCTGCTCAGGTAGGGTGGGAGCTTCTCAGAAAAGCTCTTAAACACAAAGCTGGAAAGATGAAGAGTTCGTTGGGATTCCAGCGATAGTCAGTTTTGTTTTTTAACATGTCACAATGGTGCGTCATGGAATGTATACTTAACAGAATGTGAAGTTTAACACTCCTGATTTGCAGGATAGAAACCTTGGTGATCCGGTGGCCAAGCCTCACTGTGACGGAACGCTGGCACTCCGACTGAGTACCTCCGCCAATCGATGCTCCTAGTGCTCGCTGAGGACTCCAAGCACTCCAACCAACACCATCAGCACTGCAGACCCCACTTCCAGCGATGCAACTGCGCCGGGGTCTCTGCTGTTTCCACCCACCCTGGACCCAAGGCCAGGATCCAGCTTCCAGTGGGTGAACCTCTCTTCCCCAGAGAGCAGGAACAGGAACAAATCAAGCTATTGCAAGAGCTTCCTCTGGGGAGTAAGTGATTATAGCAATCCCCAGAGTGTAGGTATCCCTTCCCCCAACCATGAGCCAAGGCTTAATGCTGGAACAAGACTGATTTACTGGCACACAGAACTCACAATTTATGCAACACAAAACTCCTCCTCTGGGCCAGGCTAGATAATTGAGTTTCTACAATACACAAAGCTCAATCATCTGCTGGCCAGAAACATTACAATTTTATAAAACACACAGGGACCCCAAAACATGCAATAACCCCATAAAAAGTATATCCTTGGAACCGGGGGATCTGGGTGAACCACATATCCAAAATTCACCCAGATCCGTTCAGTACTTTGGAAAATACAGTTTAATGCAGATTCTGCAGAACATATAAAGGCTAAATGAAAAACAATCACTTTATAATGTGTCCCCTGCTGTATAGTCCAAAACCACTGCACGATGTCTCTGTGCACCAAATACTGGCGAGATGGCACCGTGTTGAAAAGTCCACACAGTGTCTGTGAGTTAAAATGGCCGCCATCCATTGTTCTCACCATGTGCTTCTGATACAGGAAATGGTGGTGTTGCAGTGTAAGCATGCAGAAGCCAAACACAGAAATATTGGACACAGGTCTTCAGGAAGTAACAGGCCTTTATTCACATTACCGATCGGGTCTCAGATGAACTCCTGTTCCAAAGGATCTGAGAGACATATACTTGTGGCTTGGGACTTTTGTTAACTGCATATCTCCTCCCATACAGTATAACCCCTCCTATATTCCTCAGACCAATCAATGAGCAGAATATAGACTTGTACATCTAGTCAAACCACATGGCTCATCCAAGACAAAGGAAATAAGTGCAATTTCAGTTCCTGCATTCCTGCACATGCTCAGTACACTGATGACAGTATCCTAGCTACATGTAGCTAACCAACTGACACAACATACACATATGCCACATGGAAATCTTGGCCTACTAAATTTTAACCATGCTGGAATCCCATCACATTCCCCCCTTTGATGCCTCTGATATAACATTATTCCAGATGCATCACCAATCACATTTTTACCTACATCTCTCAAGTAGCCATTGATCCAGAGTAGACCTTGTAAGCATCTTAAAAACTCCGTCAACATTCCTCATCCTGAATATATTCTCTTTGGACTAGGGGATCATATCTATAGACAGCCATTACATGAGCCGCTGTCTTTCTCTCTAGTACTCTCTATAATGCTACGTAGGGACCTGACCACTAGTGGAATTAAAGAAGGCAGAAAAAGACATAAGAATATAATAAACACTACTCCTCCTACTAATGTCTTAATTCCTCCAAGCTGCTCATACCAACTTCCAAACCAAATACTTAGGTTATACCCATTCCAGACCTGAGTCGGTACATGCTCAAATTTAACCATGTGGCTTGTAAGTTCAGCCACTGCCTGCCCTTCATCATCTATGTGCAGACAACAGTTACTTAGATTAAACTTTCCGCATACACCTCCTTCTACTGCTAGTAAGTAATCAAGGGCTAGCCTATTCTGGTATATGGCTGATCACATCTTGGTATTTTGCTTAGCTAGAAGATTAAGCACTTGAGCTGTCTCATTAGTAATAATCTCAACTACCGCCTGTAGTCTAATAATGCGGTTGAGCATATATAATCGGAGTTCTATATCCATAAGTGCCATCTTCTGCCCAAGTAGTAGGTCCATAATAATTAATAATACGTTGAGGGGGCCACTCATTATCTTCCCAGCTACCTATATTCAAGGATGCTCTCTCCCTTTTATGATTTACATCGTAAACCTTAACTCCCAAGGTCTCTCCTGTTTCGATTGGCAACAAGAAGAAGGATGGCTTTGGCATACCTAATACACATGCCCCTTCCCAATCTTGTGGTAACTCCGAATAAGTTTTCTTACCACAAATCCAGTATAAATTTGCTGGGGCTTTCCAACTAGATGTAGCCGATAAGTCAAACCATACCTCCCTTAAATGAGTGTAATTGGCAAACGGATTAGTAGGTTCCAAGACATTTGAAGCTGACCACCAAGTAGTATTTTTAGTATTAACATTATAGGCTTTTTGTCCCAAGCAAGTTAGCTCACCTACAGACGTGTTATACATTGTCCCTTTCCTGGCTATACAAACATGACCTATAATGGAGGGTTTTAACCACCATTCCAATTTACTTCTAGTACTTACTTGATGATCAGACTGGAAAGGTATCTGTTGTTCATATGTCTCAGAGCCAGGGTACCATATTTCCTTTGCCTCCCATGGCCACTGGTCTCCCATATTAGTACCTCCACACACATAGCAATTAGTTACATTAAGACTACCTGCAATACCCTCAGCCAAATCAATAAATAGGTTGTTAACATTATGGGGAATTTTATCCTCAGTACTCATCTCCTCATAGAAGGAATGAGAAACCTGATGAGTTTGAGTTGCCACTGTCTCAGTTTCAAGACCTACATATATTATTGTTCCTGAATCTACTCCTGTGCCATATATTTGAAACCCAAACAGACCTCCAAACCTGTCAATAAAGTACTGCAGATTGGAAATGGTCATGTGAACGGGGTTACACACATAGTTTTACAGTATGGTGTGGTAGGCAACCTTTGGATAATCATATCTTGATCCACTGTTTTTCCCAGGTTGCCCAACCTACACATGACAAATAGGGGCAGAAGTTAGTCTCTATTTGGGCAATCAGGATCAGTAGATCTTATACTGGGACATAAGTATTTATCATTAAACCCATAAGTTCGTTCCCATTTAAGATTACCACATACATTCCAAAGTCTTCCACTACCCGAAATCGCCTTACATGCATCAAATAGTAGAATACCCGTGGAATGTATGGTGCTTATCACAGTCCTATTTAGTAATGTCCCCTGGGAGTTACTATTCCGAATTACCAACCAAATTGTACGGGGTTGGAAATGGGGATCAAAACATTTAGACTCTCCTGATATTGGCTTGCACACACTATAATCAATATCCAAATATCTACATTTAGATACAGATCCCTTACATTCATACTGTGAGTGCCAGATGAGAGTTTGGGATATTTGGTTACCTGTTTTAGTAGTCTTAATGCAACTATCGCAATTCGGTATGTCTGTACTCCTACCTTCCTGAAAAATCATAAAAATACTAAGACACAATAAAACACATTATTCCTGAAATCCTCATTTTTCTTCGACCGTGCGATGGCCTCTCAGCTTCCCGATTGTGAGGGCTGCAAGGATGTTGTTCTTCTGATCCTCACTTTCCTTCACAGAGATCCCTTCAAGATACTCTGGCTATGACACGTAGGCAGGTGGTCAGGCTTTATTATGGCCGTCAAAACACCTACTTGATGATCTTTGTAGACTTTTAACTAGAATGTCTCGATATCCCCTCGTCACTCCGACTGAGTTGCACGCTTCAACCGGGTCCTGCAAGGATTCTCAGGATCTGGAGTAGCTTGCCAAGAGTCTGCTGCTGGTTTAACCTTAGAATGATGAATCCAAGGAGTCACTTCCGCCACCTTTACAGCTGTTGGGGTAGATAAAAGAACAACATACAAAGGCTAACAGGATACACCCCGAGCTTTAACTCAATATGTATTGGTGGGATATTACGAGCAAGTCCTGGAGGATTATTTTCTTCCCATACTCCTGGAATGTCAAATAAGGATTCATCACTCTTAGGGTTAACACTTGTCACTATGGAATAGAAGCGTCATTCTTCTTCCCTTGGCATCGATATCACCATTATGCCTGGTAATCCCTTAAACTTCAGAGATGTTAATCCATTAGGTAAAAGGTTATCTGAGCTTAAAGCTTCGATAATAGATCTCGTCCTAAAAGTTGAATCGGACACTCTGGCATATATAGGAACTAATGCTTCACCACATGGCCTCCCAGAATACAAGTGCGACTCTTAAGAACCAGTCTAGCTGCACTTCTCCCAGTAGCTCCTATCACAGTTATAGTCTTCCCCGAAGGCGGAGCCACCATCTTAGTCACCACAGAATGTTCAGCACATGTGTCGATCATGAAAGAACTTCTCTTTCCCCCTATTGCTACATCGACCATAGGCTCCGCTCAACCAAGTGGGATGGAGCCCAGTCGGTATCAATAGTCTTCCATGATAGTGTCAGCCAGACCCACAAAATCTCTATCCTCTCTTTCTCTAGGTCTCTGCGTGGGTGGATAGTATCTGTCTCCTTGAACACTTCCTCTACTATTCCCACCATTCCCTCTAAAACTTCCTCTTCCTCTATAACTACCACTATAACCTCCTCGTACCCTTCTCACTCCTTGTCTACCACCTTCATACTGCTCTCTCTGTGGACACTCACTCTTCCAATGTCCCTCCTTTCTACAATACGCACATTAATTCCTACGTAGAGGTCCCTTGCTCAGCCCATTCTCGTCTCCTCTATTTACTTCCCTGTCTTTCTACACTTGAGATAGCTACCGCTAGCATATCTGCCTTTTTCCTCATTTTACGTTCTTCCTCCGTCTCCCTATTCATATATACTGTATTTGCAATCTCCATTAGCTGTATTATGGACATCCCTGCAAATCCCTCTAATTTCTGTAATTTCCTTTTAATATCACCTTGGGCCTGGCTGACAAATGCTGAGTCTATAATTCGGAAGTTTTCAGGGGCCTCTGGATTAAAGGGAGTATACAACCTATTTGACTCAAGCAGTGTCTAATATGGGACTTCGGCAAGGCTGCCCAATAATAGGTTACAGTCTAGGATTAGTAAAATAGGTGAAAGGGGGTGAGCTAATTTTATTAGTCAGCATTTGGTGGATGAAAAATTTTTTTTTTTTAAAAGTGTTAAACCAAAAACCTACCAGTAGGTGTCACCAGAGGGTAATTGTATCAAAATAATCTTTATGGGTCTAATAAGAAAACTCAACTTTTAATATATTTATACATAAAATAAAACCTTATAGCAATAAATATATTAAAATAGGGTAAGCAATCCTACATCTATCTGTTATAAACAATGTATTATCAATGTAACTCCCGAAGATGGCCAGTAGGTGGCCCTAGAGTGCCTCCCTAAAGTCAAATGAAACAAATAGACTTTAATTAATTATGTCCTATTTTATTATTACTTATTTTAATCAATGTCCACCCTGCTAGCTAGGTTTGATTAAATCTTTAGTTCTAAAGTAAATTAAACATCTCAGTTTGTAGTTTAGTAAAAAGGGGACATTTTGGACAAAGCTGGGAGGGGCCCATCCAGTAACTAAAATAAAGACCATATACCATCTGATACCATTGATCATTGATTAGGGGGAGGGGTAGTACAGAAATACAAGAGTTTGAAACACAGGAACAGATAGGTATGTGGGTAGGCGGGGACAGTAGAGCAGGGGAGTGCAAATACTGATTATACCAGCCAGAAATGGGCGTGGCTAATCTGGCTCTGGAGGATGTTTGGGGGGTTGGTAATCAGATGCCAGGGGGGGAGGGGATGTCCAAAGCAGTTGTAATTAAGTCCTTAGTTCTGACCACCATGTGGCTACATTGTTTCCCATATGACACAGTTTAACTCACCAAGGCAGTTTTTCAACAAATCAGTTTCCAACAGTCAATATATAGAAACTGATCATAGAATTCCGGCCTACTAGTTACAGCCACATGTACACCCTGCACTAAATTTAAGTGAAGACTGCTACATGGAGGCCATGCGGCCACCAGGACAAGCTACTCCCTACTTTTTTTTTTTTTTTTTAAACATACAAGACAAAGCCTTGTGAATCAGAAGATTATTTCAACAGAGCATCTGATTCAAAAAGCTGTACAAATATACACACAGTTTCAACAGTCACACCAATCTCCTTATCACCAGCAACACATTGCGCAGTCACTAGGCCCAAACACACACACAGGATCCTCACATGCTCAACAATATCACGACGTCGCACACACGAAATTAAATCAAAAACCCACCAAAGACTATACACTTATCAATGTAACTATTATTCAAACCATACAACTATCCACGCTATTAATCCATATAAACTAACCGATCACATAACATTTCAACAGATTTAATCTCTACAATTATCCGTACTATAAATCAACTCTTGACTAACCAACTATATCACATTCTAGTAACCTCATCTTTACAGTCAGTGGTTATGGTACAGTTAGTAAGTGGTTATAATACAGTTTTAAAGTCACAGATCAGTTAGTAACAGTTATGGTATTATACATATAACATAAAACAGCAATTGTTAGTAATTTTTACACAATGTCAGTGGTTATGGTACATGTCAGTAGTTATGGTACCGTGCGCTATTTTACAGTTATACACACAATTTACACTCCCACTAGACAGCAGAGCTCTAACTTTCTAGTAGGACATACAAGTTAACCAATTCACCAACTACAATATATTTAACAACATTTACAATAATCCCAACTATTCTAACTGGCCAGCACCTCGAGAGCTTTCGATCTATTTATACACCAGAGATTCGATAAGTTCTTCGCTGCCCAGACACCACGTATAGCGAACTAGAGGGCAGAATTTACACAGTACCCAGCTAGTCTATTAAACTATCAATAAGCTAGTGGCTGGATTTACAACAGAGCACACTTAGTTAAGATAGGGTGAAATCTAGCAAACTATAATATACAACAGAGTATGCTAGTCTCCCGGTCCCCCCGACCTAGCGAACAAAATTTACACCCTAGATACGCTAGTCAAGACAGGACACCGGTGTCCGACATGAGCTATTTACACCAGAACTCAGTCTGACCCAAACCACCTATATTAGACGGGCTGACTACAGAGCGTCTAATTTCCAGATAAGTGTTGCGCTTTTCACTTCTTCCATCCATAAGGACAGGGCAGATTCCAATAACCGGTTCCAAATATAAAACCCCTTGTGGGTCTACCGCTCTAACGGTATCAATCTCACCTGTTAATCCTGGACCTGGGTTCACTCATAGACGGAACAATCTGGGACTCACTGCGCAGAAGCCGATGATCTCCTGGACAAAAGGCCAGTGGCGCCGAGACGAAAGGAGGTCCACGCAGTAGAAGTCCAGGATTGTAGCGTAGAAGGTTTGGTAAAAGTTTACCGTCTCAAATCTCTGTGCCAGCTTCCGTGCGATGAGGTTCCCGGCCCAATTGCACCAGAAATGTTGCAGTGTAAGCATGCAGAAGCCAAACACAGAAATATTGGACACAGGTCTTCAGGAAGTAACAGGCCTTTATTCACATTACCGATCGGGTCTCAGATGAACTCCTGTTCCAAAGGATCTGAGAGACATATACTTGTGGCTTGGGACTTTTGTTAACTGCATATCTCCTCCCATACAGTATAACCCCTCCTATATTCCTCAGACCAATCAATGAGCAGAATATAGACTTGTACATCTAGTCAAACCACATGGCTCATCCAAGACAAAGGAAATAAGTGCAATTTCAGTTCCTGCATTCCTGCACATGCTCAGTACACTGATGACAGTATCCTAGCTACATGTAGCTAACCAACTGACACAACATACACATATGCCACATGGAAATCTTGGCCTACTAAATTTTAACCATGCTGGAATCCCATCACAGTGGCCACCCAGTAACTCCACAGTATGTCCCCAGATGGTTCTTAAAGGGCCAGCAGCAGCACAACACAAATCCATTATGCCCAAATCATGTCTTTAAAGGGCAATACAACCCAGGGGCCATAGTCACAGGGCAAGAGGCGGGCAAGCAGTCCTCTCCAGGCACAAGTGGCGAAGGGCACTTCGTCACACTCACCTGGATTACATCTTCTATGAAGCCACAGATATCCCTCCGAAGGAAGGAGAGCAGGTTCTCACAGATCATGGATCCCACCAATGTGGTCAAAGCTCCAAATCTGCACATCCAGGACTCAGTCTGGTGCAGGCACCTCTCCACTGCCTTTCTCTCTGCCTGGCCAGTGGGGCTCATTGCATCCTTCTGCAAGGTTTGCACCATGGTATAAGTGTCATCTCTCACCTGAAATTAATGAAAGAGGAAGGTGTGTGAAAATGAGGGACTCAAATCAAGTAATATTAGTGAGTGAAGTGAAAGAGCAGACAGCGTGGGCTAAGAGGAATTGAAATCAGAGGAAGTGCTCACGTACAGGGTGGGCTAAGAGGAATTGAAATCAGAGGAAGTGCTCGCAGACAGGGTGAGCTAAGAGGGATTGAGATCAGAGTGAGTGCTCACAGACAGGGTGGGCTAAGAGGGATTGAGATTAGAGGGAGTGCTCGCAGATAGGGTGGGCTAAAATGGATTGAGATCAAAGGAAGTGCTCACAGACTGTCACAGAGTATAACCCTAAAACACAGAGTTTAGTATAGCAAGGAATTGACTAAAGAAATATCAATGTCTTCCCAGGCCTTCGAGTGGCCAGACTTAATGTAAGACAAAATAAAGCATAGTCGAAATATGAGCCAAGGTCAGGGTAACATAGAGACAACGAAAACGGTAACAATCAGAAGGGCAAACAAGACAGGCAAGTATTTAAGAGAAACTCAGAGTCAGGAAACAAAGCCAAGGTCAATACCAGAATACAATACTAATCACAAAGAACGCACTAAAGGGTACTGGGAACATAAACCACAATAGGGCACATAATCTAGGGCCAGGTAAGTTTAACTACTTTTATTTTTAATTTGGTGGGTCCACATCATGCCTGCGCCCCAAAACATGTGTGAATGATGGCGCCGGAATGACGTGGGCCAATGGGAGACGACGGTGAGGTTAGGCTCCCATTCCCCCTTCAAGAACGTTGAGCAACATTCCCAATACTATACGGGCCAGGTACCCGATCAGACTTTTAGGTGTGCACGGCCCGCAAGGATCCAGGAGTATTCGAGCCGCACATGGGTCGCCTGGAGGCAAGAGTGCTCAAGCTGCGTGCGGCTTAAATGGATGACCCCTGCCGGCACACGGACCGGGTAAGTACCATTACACAGACAGGGTGAGTGCTCGCAGAGTGGGTGGACTAAGAGGGATTGAGGTTGGATTCCTGCAATGAGAATGTCTATCTCTGCTAAGTGTGAGCATAACTCTTAACTTTCCCTCTGACTCCCTATATGCTTTCCAGCAGGGATTTTGGTATCTGTGTTCCTGGATGTTTTGTCCTGGGATCTTATTAAACTGAACCTGTACAGCAGAGGCTGCCAAGTCTTTATGGATGATTGTCCAGCCAGGTGGGGAGCAGGCCAAGCTGTTGGCAGCTAGGGAAGGCCAAGAATCATATCATATTTCTTTTTATAAGTGAAATATTTCATAACACTATACAGAAACTATAGGTGCTACAGAATTAGTAGGCACTATATGAGGGGACCGATCATGTTGTCCCTATGTATCTCTATGTTCGGGTATTCCGTCCAGTGTACAGATGTTTTACCATTGATGGTCCCTTGATCTCATCCCAATTCCATTTTCCCTTTCCTTTTATTAATTGCCATGATGCTATTTTATGTAGATTTTGTGAAGTGGGTGTGGCTTCATAGCATAATAAAAAGGGGTGGAGCTAAAGAGTCTGGGATTAGAAATGCTGGCAGAGTGTAGCTGGTCCTCGTGCTGGCTGGGATCCTCCCGTTAGGCACTCCTGCCTCCAGGCGAGCCACGTGCGGTTCAAAACACTCCTGGCGGGCCCATACAGTCTTAAAGGGTAAATGGGTAAATGGGATTCTAACATCGCAGTCGGCTCCCATTGGCCCACATCATTCCAGCTCCCCTCTGCACACACGTCTTGGGGCGCCGTCATGACGTGGACCAATCAAATTAAACATAGACTTATTTAAACTTACCTGGCTCTAGATTATGTGCCCTATTGTGGTTTCTGTTCCCAGTGCCCTTTACAGGGGCGTACCTAGAGCATGTGGCAAACAGGGCAGGTCCTGGGGTTTGCACCCCCCCTTCAAAAAAACCAAAAATACCTACAAAAATTTTTAAATGTGTTCTTTTTTTACATTTTTTAAAATGTATTGCACAAATTTGTAAACTTTTTAAAACCTCTGTCACTTCTACAAAATCCCTGCAACCCCTCACATACAGTTACAGGCAGACAGTCACACACACACAGTCACATGCAGACAGTCACACACACAGTCCGTTACAAGCAGTAACACACAGTCACACACATGGTTACAGCCACACACACATTACAGGCAACATCACACAGTCACATGCACACAGTTACAGACAGGCAGTCATACACACAGTCACATGCAGACAGTCACACACACAGTCCGTTACAAGCAGTAACACACAGTCACACACATGGTTACAGCCACACACACATTACAGGCAACATCACACAGTCACATGCACACAGTTACAGACAGGCAGTCATACACACAGTCACATGCAGACAGTCACACACACAGTCCGTTACAAGCAGTAACACACAGTCACACACATGGTTACAGCCACACACACATTACAGGCAACATCACACAGTCACATGCACACAGTTACAGACAGGCAGTCATACACACAGTAACATGCAGACAGTCACACACACACACACACAGTCACAGGCAGACAGTCACAGGCATGCAGTCACACACACACAGTTATAGGCAGAGAGTTACACACACACATACATACACACACACACCATCACAGGCAAACAGCCACACACACAAAGTTACAGGCAGACCGTTACACACACACAGAGTTACAGGCAGACAGTTACACACACAGTTACAGAGTCACACATACACACACACATAGTTACAGACAACAGTTACACACACATACTCTCAGTTACACACACACAGTTACAGGCAGACAGTTACACACACACACACACACACACACTCCCTCTTACTTACTTACAGACAGTGTGGGCTGGAGGAGGACTGGATTCATTGAAGTCATTCCCTGGCTGGAGCCTGTTAGGTGGAGGAGCAGGGATTTCTTCTTGCTGCACCTCCATGTGCAATATTAACAGCAGCCGGTAAGGGCCGTGTTAAGCCCTGCCCCTGCTTTCCGATTGGCTACGCCCCCAAATGGACATAGCTCCACCCCCAAACTTCTGTGCGGCCACTTCAGCTTGCTTGTCTCTTCCTGTGAGCTGTGCGACACCCCAGCTGTCATGGGGCACAGCTCACACGTCCCCCTTTAGCTCTCAGACCTGGATTATGGCTCCCCCCTACCTGGTGGCACCCAGGGCGGACCGCCCCCTCCGTTCCCCCCCCTCCCCTTAGTCCGCCACTGACCCTTTAGTGTGTTCCTTGTGATTCTGGTATTGATCTTGGCTTTGTTTCCTGATTCTGAGTTTCTATTTAACCCTTGCCTGTCTTGTTTGCCCATCTATCTATTACCGTGTACCTGACGCTGGCTAGTTCTCATTCTCGCTGTCTCTCTGTTACCCTGACCTCAGCTTGTTTCATGACTACGTTTTACTTTCTGTCTAACGTTAAGTCCAGCCACACACAGGCCCAGTAAGACGTTTATTTTCCATTATCTGTCCCTTGCTATCCTATACTCTGCGTGTTCGGGTGTCTGAGGGCGTGAAAATCATAAGGTGCCTACTTTGGAAGGTGAGTGGCATAGCACAAGGTATGTATCCTTACAATTTCGGGTGATAATAGTCTAGCTTACCAATTTTAGGATTTGGGAGACCAGAGTCAGGAACTTGTAGAGTTGGCTTTTGGCTTCAGATTTTGCCAGACCGAGTGCAGTCTGCATCTCCTGGTATGAATAGTGAGCAAGATGGTGCTGCGGGAGCCATGCCACTCTAGACAGCTCCAGCAGCAGTCTGTGAAAGGACCAGAAAGTGCATCAAAGAAAACACCTGTATGTGTACTATAGGGAGACTGTATGACGGTTACTGTGTATTACACACTGTATATGTACTATAGGGAGACTGAATGACGGTTACTGTGTATTACGCATTGTATATGTACTATAGGGAGACTGTATGACGATTACTGTGTATTACACATTGTATATGTACTATAGGGAGACTGTATGACGATTACTGTGTATTACACATTGTATATGTACTATAGGGAGACTGTATGACGATTACTGTGTATTACACACTGTATATGTACTATAGGGAGACTGTATGACGGTTACTGTGTATTACACACTGTATATGTACTATAGTGAGACTGTATGACGGTTACTGTGTATTACACATTGTATATGTACTATAGGGAGACTGTATGACGATTACTGTGTATTACGCATTGTATATGTACTATAGGGAGACTGTATGACGATTACTGTGTATTACACATTGTATATGTACTATAGGGAGACTGTATGACGATTACTGTGTATTACGCATTGTATATGTACTATAGGGAGACTGTATGACGATTACTGTGTATTACACATTGTATATGTACTATAGGGAGACTGTATGACGATTACTGTGTATTACACACAGTATATATACTATAGTGAGACTGTATGACGGTTACTGTGTATTACACACTGTATATGTACTATAGGGAGACTGTATGACGGTTACTGTGTATTACACATTGTATATATACTATAGGGAGACTGAATGACGGTTACTGTGTATTACACACAGTATATATACTATAGGGAGACTGAATGACGGTTACTGTGTATTACACACAGTATATATACTATAGGGAGACTGAATGACGGTTACTGTGTATTACACACAGTATATATACTATAGTGAGACTGTATGACGGTTACTGTGTATTACACACAGTATATGTACTATAGTGAGACTGTATGACGGTTACTGTGTATTACACACAGTATATGTACTATAGTGAGACTGTATGACGGTTACTGTGTATTACACTCTGTATATGTACTATAGTGAGACTGTATGACGGTTGCTGTGTATTACACACTGTATATGTACTATAGTGAGACTGTATGACGGTTACTGTGTATTACACACAGTATATATACTATAGGGAGACTGTATAATGGTTACTGTGTATTACACACTGTATATGTACTATAGGGAGACTGTATGACGGTTACTGTGTATTACA